CTTGTTCTCAGCACCCTCTTCCTTTGACTGCTAATATGCCTTTTGTTGTTTACTACTTGGTATTTAACATGTGTTTCTTTTATTGATAATTTTTTATACACATCTCTTTTCCTTTGACCCAACTGTCTTCTGAGCTTAAATTGAGGGTCAGGATAGTGGAAAGAATACAGACTTCAGAATTCTACTTGGATTTGAACCTCAGATGGACCCTTTCCAGCTTTGCTCTTAGGCAAAATGTTAAAATTTTTCTGAGTTACACTTTTATCATCTCTGAAGTTGGAATATACATACATTGCAGTATTTTCAAAGCACCTGGTTCAACCTCTAACTTGCAGCAGGCATTCAGAAAAATGACAATAGTACGTCAGGGTGGATTCCTTCCTTTATCCTATTACCAAACTCTTCTATTATTTACTATTTATGTAATAGTAGTTTAGTGATAAAAATATCTGCTGTTGTATTATTTTTTGTATATCAAGTAAGGGACATGTGTCAAGGTAAGGACTCCATTCTGTCATTGTGGAATCGAGTGTCAAGGGAACTTTACAGTTTGTTGTTAATGGCAGGCCCCTGTGTACCTACTGATGGAGCTTCCACATCGTAGTCCTTATTTCTTTAAAAAGCTGTTTGAATTTTTCAGTTTTTTTTTCTTAGTTTCATGTGTATACAACTTTTTATTTAGGAATAATTTCAGAAGTATTAAAAGTCTTTTAAAATAGTTATATAAAATTTTCCTAAAAGTAATGTGAAAAAATGCCCACGGATACTATACGTGGGATGACACCAGTTGTTAACATTTTATTCCACTTGCTTTTATCATTTGTACTCTACCTGTATACCTGTAGACACCATTTCCCCCCCTTAACTGTCAGTAAGTTATATGCATTCTGCTTCTTTATTCTTAAAATGCTCTGCTTTTCCTGCAAATAAGAATATTCCCTTAAAATCACAGTTGTGTTGGACAGTGCTTTTACTTAGTATCTTTAGCTATCTTTAATCTGGACCATGCCACCACTATCCTTTATGGCACTAGCTATTTTGAGGAATACAGTCTTTTTTTTTTTTTTGTAGTGGAGCATTTCTCTTGGTCTGTTATTCTTTGTGATTAGATTAAGGTTTTGCTCTCCTAGTCAGACTACTACATATATAACATTTTGTCCTTCTTAGAGTATCACATCTGTAGGCACATGATGTTCATTTGTGTTTATTAGGATGTTTGATTACTTAGTCAAGGTATTGACAGATTTCGTCACTGAATAAATACAATTTTTTTCTCTCTTGCTACTAATAAGCATTGTGTGGGGAAACATTTCAAAACAATGTAAATATTCTTATACCTGTTCAGGATTTCCCCCTAGAGTGAATGAAGCATTCACTGATAATTTTTGCCAGAATCAGTCTTTGCCATTATAGTCACAAAATGATAAATTTAATACTCTAACCATCCCTTAACATTTATCAACCAGCTCTTGCTATTCTGTTTTTGAAGTTACTCCTTCTGTTTTTTTATCTGCATTATTTATCTGTATGGACTCATGACTCCCTATTTTTATAAAATTCTTTCTAATTCATTACTCTTCTTAATTCTTTGGTCTTCAAATGAGTCCCATATTTGTCTAGACTAGAGGAAGCCACTTCTGTCTAGCATTTGTATTCTTGAGAGTGCCCCCCCTCCCTTTTTAAATTAAACACTTCCTTATTCGCTACTAAAATGATATGCTTCGGGCTCAGCTGTACATACCCAGACTCTGGCCTGGAATTAGCCATGTCTCTGAGGTACCTTGATTTCTTTTAGTAGACAACAGCATTATTAGTCACTAAGGTCTGTGTTTTTGGGATACTGGTTTTTGAGCCTTCAGTGAAATTGAACACTAGCTGCCATGCATTTCCAAGGGATAAATCTTTGCATTTTAGCCTTTGGAAAAGCTATCATTAGCTGTCAGGCTTTAGTTATTTTAGGAAATGAGTAGAACAAATGATACTAATTTCTTGTGCTGTTCTAAAGCCCGGGCCTCAACGTATTTATATTTTGGAGATGAATTGTAGCTACAAAATAATGTCTACTATAGAATTGTCATTTTCATTAGTTTTTGCATCATGTACCAGCAAAACTAACTGTAACACCCTGCAAAAATTGTCAGATTCAATGAGACATTTCTCATTAATGAAGAATCGTGGAAAATATTTTGTAAGAATAGCACTGTTTCTTGAGATTACTGGAAAAGTGGAGTCATACATGCATTCTTTTCCTGGGGTTGTATCCGGCTAAAATTATAGTTGAGAGTGTTTTGCAAACTGCTAATAAGTTCATTTGTTGTAGTTGGTAACATGACACGCTTGTTAACTTTGTAGCCAAATTGATTTATCTGTTTTGTGGGCTCTTCCTTTCCTTGAATAGCAGAACAGTTTACCAGAGTATCCTTCAAGGAGGGTAGAATTAAAGCAAACACCTTAATGAAAATTCTTAGTAAGATTTGTTTTTAGTTTTTATCTATTCCTTTTGCTTAATTTTTCAAGGCCATCTCAAGATTAACACTTGGTGCCTGGTACTATTTCAATAAAATAGGAATCGTGTGGCTGAAATACAGTTATTTGTTCTCATTGACTGTATCAGAGAGTGCAGACTCTGCTCTTTGAAGGAGAACAGGTGCTTTAATCCAAGTGCCTTTCGAATTTAAAGTTTAAGTGGCCTTGATGAGAATAAAGCATTCTTGTTTCATACTGGTTAATGTAGACATAAGATTGTGTGACTTAACATTAAAAAAAATTATTAAATGTATGAAAGCAATTTAAAACTTTCATCTTGGAAGTAGAAAAGTGAAAAGCACTGATAAAAGGGTTTCAACTGCCTGTGTTAGCTGTGTCCTCTGCCCTCACTAAATGGAAGTCTCCAGACCTCATTCATGTGGTCACAGAGAGTCCCCAAGTAAAATGTTGAATTTCATGTGGAGAGCAGATGCTTGATCTCACAAAAAGGAGTATTCTTAGAATTCTAGATTGAAATAAAAATGAAAAAATTCAATTAAAAATTTAATGAAATGAAAGGGCATGACTGGGTTCCAATAAAAGTTTATGGACCTTGAAATTTGAATTTTACATAATTTTCACATTAAAGATATTTTTAAAAAAACTTTCTTAGCTTGAGTCCTACAAAACATGTGGGAGGCTGACTATAGACCTAAGAATCAGTTTCCGTTCTGTGCAGAAAAGGATAACTTTTTAAAACTTTCATTTGCATTATTTTTTCAGAAAATAATGCTACAGCAATACCTTTTGAAACTGACTTTTCTTATATTTGTGTTAGCCGTTTTAACTCATTACAGTATTCCACAAGTTACTAAACATTTTATCAGTATAAGCTTTTCAAAACTGTTTCCAAGAGAGGGTCTTGTACCTGAGACAGAAGTAGTGACTGAAGTTTTCCATAATTTTGTTTTATTGATGTGGTATTCCTTTTGTTAGGGTGCTTCAAGGCAAAATACATTACAGTTTGTTTGCATTATGGTTCTGACTTCTTACACAGTGTAGATTTGAGCACCTGCCACACAGAGTGCTATGCAAAGCACTGGAGTAAAACAAGAGACATTCAGGGCTCTAGTTACACTTTGAACTCTGATTGCAGAATTAATTGATCTACTGAAGCATTTCTGTTAATAGGCTTGATTCTTTTCAGTGTTTAGTAAAAAACTGCCTTTGCTTCATTACACTCCTAGGCTTAAAAGGTGTGGCCACAGGGTGGCATAGTTCTCTCACACACTTTATTGTTGCTAAATTAGATAGAAAAAAATGTTACAAGTAATGAGACTTCTTTCCTCCTAATTTTGATGTTAAAATGGCCAAGCTTTATTTTTTTCCATTGTTCATCATTAAAAGTTTAATAACATTAAATCTCAGTGTCTTAAACATTTATGTTTTAAATCATTTGTCAGTTTATGGTTACAGTTAATTTTATAGTGCTTACAAATAGAAAAATAATAATTAGAACTATTTTATACAATATATGTAACACTGGCTTCAATAAAGAATGTATAAAAATGGCTAGAGGAATATTTGTAACTAAAGGACAAAGATGTTTTCTAAATAATTACAAAGGCACGGGCAATATTACTGGTATATTTTTGTTTGATTACAGAGCCTTAATGGAGCAATCAGTAAAGAAGAGCTAATACATCACATGGCTACAGGACACACATTATTTTTTTAAAGTGATCTTTCATCCTAATAGATTCAGATGAGAGCTGAATTTGTTAAGGACTTTTTATATATTACCTGTAAGAAGAGATTTGTCTTTAGGAAGTCAAGGAAAGTGAAGTCTAATGGATCTAAAGGAAGTCTTTAAGTTGTACACTATTTAAAGCCAAAGCTTATGCCCTTTTATTCTTTCCATACAAGTCACTAGTGGGCCCCATCCTTGTTGGGAGTAGACTGATTATAGTGTTTAATGGGATGTACAATTTAAGAGAATTTTTGCCCCAAATGGAACAAGTTAAGGAGCATTCTGACAGTGAGGATGTAATTAACTAATTTACTTCCTCCATCTTCTCTATACAATGTTTTTAAAAAATCCCCCCACCCCCACCTGCTCATTAAGTAAGTACATTGTTACCATGTTACTTTACTTGTTTTAGGTAATCATTGTCGCTAAAATAGTAAACTGAGCCAGGCATGGTGGCATAGTCCTGTTCCCATTACTTAGGAGACTGAGGCAGAAGTATTACTGCGAGTTCAAGGCTAGCCTAGCCTGGGCCACATAGTGAGTTTAAGGCCAACCTGAACTACACAGGAAGACCATGTCTCAAAACAAACAAACAAATAAACAAGTTGAAAGGGAACAGAGATCTTAGCATCTAAAAGTACTCAATCAACATTTATATTTACATAAACATACTAGAACCAGGTACATTAGATGTTTTTTTTCTTAAAAATGATATTTTATAGAGATAAGCTTCTCTAAGAGGAACCTTACTGATGCAAACTTGCTGTATCTTTTCTTTTCCTAGGGTGATTGTGTTCTTACTGTACTGCTTGCTGAAGAGGACAAAGTGGAAGATGATGTGGTTTTTTACTTAGTATTTTCAGGCTCCACCCTTCATCATTGTGCAAGTACTCGGAAAGTCAGTTCTGACACACTGGAAACCATTGCTCCTGGTGAGTGCTTGAATAGGATCTTTTCTGGCCTTTTACTATTCTTGAACATTTTACTTGTTCATTAGTGTAGTGAGAGAGAGTAAAGCAGGGTGATATGACTTGTCAGATCTTTAAATGCCTATTTTATCTTTGTTTCACAAAAGCCTGACCCTAACTAGAAATAAGTGAAATAAAGCAATGTTATAAATTAAAAGGTAAAAGTCAGGATCAGCAAAAGTAGTAATTTCTAGAATGTTGAGACTGGGGAAAACTAAAACATGAGCAGATATATAAATTCTCACATGGTTGCTTTAATCAGATTGCCTATTTTGAATTGGATGGTGGCAAAACCAAAAGTGAAAACACTGTGGGGCAGGGGATTTAGCTCAGTGGTGCAGCTAGCTGCCTGCGTTACAAGCCCAAGGTCCAGAGTTTGATCCCTGATACCAAAAACCACCACTACCACCAACAAAACACTATTTGTAAAACACTCCTCATACCTTGACTACAGAATCTTTCAGAAAGCCAAATTTGCCCCAGATTTAACATTAGTTTATTATGGAATAAAAGCTTATTCACTATTTATTGCTTTTATAATTAAAAACTAAATATTTTGAAATTCTCACAGAACCATCAGAACATTGCTACTTCTAACAAAATGGATGATAAAGTGCAATGCTTCTCTTTGCCTATTCTAGCATCCAAAAGTGTATTGATTTGTGTTTGGAGAATAGCTTCTTTTCTCATTTGACCTTGCTTTACAATTAACTTTTGACCAGTTTTTATCAGAATTCAGGACCACACACTTGTGTAGAGAAACTAAAAAAAATGTTGACAGTGCAATTATTTCCCTTTAGAGAATAAAATGGATATAATTGAATAATCAAAAATTTTTAGGGGTTCCAGGGTGTTGATTTTGTTTAGGTGATATAAAATTATTAATTTATGAAGTATTGAATATGAAGGTGGTCTTGCTGATATTTGATCAGTTTTTTGTTTCTGTGCCATTTCATATAAATTAACTTTATGTCTTACACCTATTAAATTCTGAAAATTGTTTATGACAATTGAAAGTTTTATTTGTCCTCTTTGGGAAAAAATGATTTTGAAGAATATAGGATTTAAAGATTCTAGAAGGTCCTTAGGAATATTTCCTCCATATTTTAATGCTAGCAAATACAAGAAGACAGTCAGGATAGATACTGATTTCCTTTGCAAAGAGTATTAGGTACCCTTCTTTGTAATTTAAAGCTGCAGTCGTCTTGTGATTGGTGTCATATTGGAAAGGCTTAAGTGGAACTTACAACCTGCTGTCTTGCAGGTACCACTCAGTATCACCATTATTAAACATGTATTATGTGTTGGTGATGGGAAGACAACTCCTCAACTAGTGGAAGCAGTTAGTCTTTGGCTGGACTCAAAGAAAAGGAATGGACATAATTTTTATAAATGTATGCTTTCCTGCATTAGACCAAATTAGAAAGGATTAAAGCACATGTGTGCGTGTGTAAGAGAGAAGGAAACTATGTTGAGAATATGACTGTGGGTCCTGTCTATGATACTCAGTCTAATCCCAGAGACAGGTAGAGACAGGTGTTCCTAGATGCTGTTTACACCTTCACTGGCAGAACTCTTAAATTAAGAAGGGTGGCAGGCAGGGTACTCTCTGGAATTGTAAACCCACTGTGCTTACATGACAGCCTGGAGCTCTGAAGTTTATATCATATCCAGTATACACAGCTTCCAGCCTACCATTGTGAATTCCAGTGTGCGTTTCTTCCTTTGGCTTTGGGTCTCTTTGTATGTCTGAGTACTCCCATTGCCAGCCATCTCATCTGTGCTTATTGATTTCAAGTACTGTTGCCTGCCAATTCAAGCCAGTCAGAATGGATATTGTATTCTGCTCTCTTCCTCTGTTTTTGTCTGAATCCTCAAAAGTTATTCCTGACCCTTTTGCTTGGGGTTATTTCATTTTCTCTTCTCTTTCAAAGATTTTCTCTATAATCACTTTTCCTCTTACCCACCTCTCATATTCTTGGCTCATGCTTATGGGCCCAACAATTCTCCCACCTCCACCAACTGGCCTGAATGTTCTGTTGATGTAAGGTGCCTAATGACAACAGAGCTCACAAAAAGATACTAGAGTTCCTGAAAGACTTTCATACCTGTGGAAGGCCAGTGAAAGTCAAGGCAGACTTCAGCATGTGAGATGGGTGCATTTTGGGGGTTAATTTAGGTTAGTTTTGAGTTTCTTGTTTACATCATGAGGCCTTTTTTTCTAAAGCTAGGCTTATGCTGCCTTATATCTGCATTTATGGACTTCTTAGACTTGTGTCTTCCTTTTCTGTCCTTAATTAAATATCACTTTCTGTGAGGCCTTTCCTGTCCACTTGTGACCCATTTCTGTCCACAAGAAATACTCAACTGCATCCTCTCAGCATCCCTTCCTTGCTTTGTCTTTCTCCATTGTACTTACCAACCTGTAACACATGTACTTTATTTATCTTATTTTCTTCCTTCTCCTACTATAGCATTAGCTTTGTGAAGGCAAGAATTTTGATTTATTTACTGGTGTATGCTAAGAAGGCTTCTTTTAGGAATTTGTACCACACAGAGGAACAGTGTTTCCATTGTTTTGAAATTTACCCTTTTTCTCATAAGCTGATTTAATAGAAAGTTGCTTGTGCATGTGTATACCCTCCTTTTTTTCTTCTTCCTTCTACTTTCTATCCTTTTTTTTTTTGAGTACCAGGGATCAAACTTGGGACCTTGAGTTTGTGAGGAAGGTGGCGGCACCACTGAGCTAAATCTAAATCCCCTGGCCCAATTCCCCTTCCTTTACTTCTTTATTTGAGATATGCAAAAGGAGTCTTTGGCTCCTTGAAATCATAGCTTGAAGCAGGAAAGGACTCTCTGTCCTCCCAGTGGTACTTTTGATACTTTCTGTGCATCAGTTGGCAGTATGGATATCCTCTGGGTTTCTGTTTGCTGGGAGTGGTGTCTGATTAATCAGGATTCTTCATGAAAAGTCTGTACTGTGCTTTGTGCATCCCAGTTAGTGTAGAGATGTACACAGTTTTTGTTTTTGGCAGCAGCAGCCGCCACTTCTGCTAGGGATGTCTTTGTATCTTTTCTGCTTACATAGGAACTGTCCTTTGATTCCTGGTCATTTGGGCTGACTCAGAAAAAAAAAAGGACTTTGTGCTTTTTTCTTACTTATAATGTGCTTCATCTGGATTGCTGGCTCTGATTTTTCTTTGCGTTCTCTGTCAGTGTTTCTATAACTGTTTGTTTGCTTGCTTACTTGCTTGTTTGTGACACGGTCTCACTAGTTCAGGCTGGGCTTGAATTTGTGATCCTCCTGCCTCAGCCTCCCTGAATACTGATATTGCAAGTGTATACCAGCATTCCCAGCAAGTTTTTTTTAAAGCCATAGTCACATGACTGACTGATCTTCAAAAGACATCTACTTCTTAACATTAGTCTATAATCTTTAACAGATAAATATTTTCTGCAAATATGTTTGAAAAAAGAGACATTTCTAAATTGTCTCAAATCTTTAACCTCAGATACTGAAATTACAGTCATCTCCCATTTTCTTTTCTTTGCATGTTTTCTAATAAGAGCTTTATATGGGGAGGGGATTATAAAGAAGTTGTAAAAGTTTCTTACAGTAAAAGTTTCTTTTCTTGCCTGCCTGCCACTGAAGGCATAGATATGATCTGATTCCCCCCTTTAAAAAGTATGTTAGAAACTGTATTTTATCTGCCTTAGAATTGTTTGAGTGCATTATAGCGAGCATTTACTTGTATAATATCCAGTAATTTTAGTATTTTGAAGACTGAAAAGAATGTCTTCTCTTGAAAATTAACTTCTAACACGAGATAAGTACAAGCTTTAGAATAAAGTATTAGATTCAAAATACCTATGAGATGGCTGGTTCAAGTATATAATTTGCTGTGAAACATAGCTTGAAATGGAAATGGATTTCTAATAATGAAATATTACCTTTATAATAAATAAAATAACCTATTACTGCCACCTCATGGAAACCCAATTTAAATAATTAATTTTAATATCCAGTGATTTTCTTCTAGAGGTGAAGCTGAGGTTCTCCTTTCTTTCTAATACCTATAAAGGATTGGTAAACAGTGTAAAGAAATCTGAGTATCCTTGGAAGATAATTCTTGGTGGAAACATGCGCTGTTTTGTTGCCTTAGTTTTATTAATGAAACAATTTAGATAAGCAAACAATGATTTCAGAATGAAAAGTGGAACAGGATGTTTAGTGGATTTTGTACACTTTTATGAAACGCTTTGATGTAGAATCTTTCATAAAATGATTTTTTTTTAAGCATGTCTATTTACTTTTAGAATTCACAGCAAAAGTTCTTGTTTGACAGAAAAACTACAAACCTTCATTTACCTAAACTTAGACTCAACACTTAAGTATTTTTCTTTTTTTCTCACTTACAAGGAATGGTACTATATAAAGTAGATTCATCATAAAGAGAAAAGTACATTTACCACTGTTGAGAAGTCCTTTGGGATTTAATGAAAAAAATTGTAGCCCAGGCCTCAACAGGTAGTCCTAGAATTTTGGCACAGTGCATCTTTCACAAGACTTTTGTGAACCAAGACTCTTTCTAACAGAGGTCCAAAGACTATCAAATTGAATAACATATGTGAAAAGAAGGTACTTGATTTTTTTTTTTTGTACCAGGGATTGAACTCAGGTCCTTGTGCTTGCAAGGCAGGCCATTGAACCGCTGAGCTAAATCCCTGGCCCTAAGAAGGTACTTGATTTTAAGTAACCCGATTGGAGAAATTTTTCCCCACCCCACTATCTGAACAGTTAGGTTTTTTTGTTGTTGTTGTTTTGGTACTGGGAATCGAACTTGGGTCCTAGCACTTGCGAGGCAGGCGCCAGAACCACTAAGCTAAATACCCGGCCCAGTCAGGTATTTTTTTTACTGAAAATCTTATAACAGTTACCCTATTCTGAAGTACTTCTGTAACAA